GGACATTGAACACAGGTTGAAATAGGTAAGTTGTCTCGATATTGTATTTGTTTGGGGAAGTACTTGTACAAGTTTTATTGGATGACTTTCATATTTTCAGGGATGGACAACGACATTTTGAAGTCTATCTGTGAGAATTTTGAAAGAGATTAGTTTACCAACACCCGATATAATATGGGCAAATTGTAAAATCTAAAACAGTACTTCCTTTTTTAAAATTAAATTTCATCTTATCCTTCAAAAATAAAACTTTTATTCAAGTAAAAAATGCAATTACTGCATTCGCTGGTCAATTTCGGCCAAATTTCAAAATTGTAAAAATAGTATTTTTATTTTAAAATGAACCCATAATATTGGTAACGTATTCTTAAAGAAGCCTTGTTTCAGAGGTAAATTTTAATTCGAGTTGACAATGTATATTACTGTCAATTTCGGCCAAATGTTAGAAGCATTTTCATTTTTAAAGGTAGACTTATTCTGAAAAGTCTTTATACAAAAAACAAAACAACTTTTTATTCGACTTTACAATGCAATTACTGCTTCACCTTGTCAGAGACAATTGACAAAACTATTTGAATACAGATGTTAATGTAAATTTTATCAGTGAAGGAATTTTACTATCTACATTCCAACTTGTAGTAAACCTAGAAGCTGTTTCCCATCAAAATTACAATTTGTTTGGCTTTTAAGAAAGTCAAGTTTCGCCTATAAAAACGACATAGGTCATTAACTCATGGTAATGGCGACTTTTATCGTGCTGTGTCACTTTAAATCTTCCATGATTGTAAACTTACGTGTTTTTCACGTGTATCACAAGAGTATTAAACCTTGTCATGCCTCATTTCTCAAACAGGTTGAAAGCAATTATTCGGCTGAAGTAAAAACAATTGCGTTGATTCATTCTAGTCCACTTTGTTAATAGTTTGGTAATTAGAACCCCGTAGAGCCCTGTTTATAGTTCGTGTACACCGTGAGGAATATAGTAGAGCTGATAATGAGATAGGTCAAAGGTTATCGGATATACTACAAGCCTCGATATGACTTGATTCATTTGACATATTCATTACTGACACATTTGTCACTTCCGGGCATTTTGCAATATACGTCACACCTCCCTTTTAATATAAAAAACACCACCTTTCGGTGGAAAATAGAAATAAATATTTATTTTTCTATCTATGAATGAGTAAAACCCAATCTGGAATACACATTTAATTAACAAATCGCATGTAAAGATATGCATCTCAAACAACAATTGGACAAGGACGTTGATGCTTGTTTGTATTATGTCCTATATGCAACATGTATTGAGTCTGCAGCAGATTGCAGTCGGCGATTTAAGTTAGAATTGACTCTCCTCCACCTAAACTAAACTGGGAATTTTTAAAGGGTTACAAGGCTGTAAGAACCAACTCAGTTTGAAGATGTGTCAGTGTGAAGGGGTGTGGGTGATATGATATAAAATATAATTTTCGAGGTTAGGGTTAAGTCAACAATTTCACCGCACCAACCACTATCCGAAGTATATTTTCCCAATTATTAGTGTATCGGATTTTGTGTTTTTCCTCCTATCATGATATGTGTGGTGTGATATAATATCAATGACGTATAAAAGTGTGCATGATACATTGTATTTTATAAATGTTTTATGATAAATGGACACCAAGGTAAACACACGTGACAAGTTACAGAGTGTCATGCTCGTTCTGAAATTCCACAGGATTGTGATCTCAATGTCGTGAGAAAGTTCTACTAAATATTTTATAAATGTCTTTAGGTTGTATAGGTACATAATTAATATGATTTTTAATCTACTGGCATTTAAATTGATAATTAATATGGACGAAAGGCAACGTTAAAATATATAGAAAGCTTGACAATGACTGCGGATGCGATAACGGGTACAGAGAAAAGCGTGACAATGTCTTCCGAGGTGGTGCAACTAGTATAGTCATTTTCTGTATCCTCGATGATACGATTTACTTGGAATTGTTTAAAAAAAAACACTCTAAGGTCTAAGAAGATACATATTATCATATTTACTAAAAGACAGACAGTAAATCCACCAAAACGAAATTTTAATATACCTTAAAACAGTTGGTAACCACAAATATGATTGCTTTGTACACTTAAGTACACTCGAGAATATACCAAATACCAAGGCGATAGAATGGAAACATCTTTTCGACAACAAAACAGACCATTTTACAACTGAAAATGCAGATTAATCGCTTTCGCTGTAAAAAATTCCGACCTTGATATGCAGAAACACATTTCAACCCAACTTCAAAAGCGATGCACCTGACGACAGAATGCAGCTGCAGTCAAAATCTGTTTGAAGTCCTGTTCAGACAACCTGTTAATTTGGAATGTTTCGTTTTTTATTTAAAATAATGTTGCCTGATAACAGTCGTCTATTGTTTTATCGCATTAAATTTCACTCAAATCTGACCTCCATGATATACACGTCATAAATCATGTGACAGGTGACGTAAGAGGTTTATGTGTAGTATGTAATAGGTCCTGGGATTGGTTCGCTTCTGCCAAATGTTTTGAATTTCAAACTGACTGTGATATTTTTCAACATTTCACTTAAATGAGTTTATTCCATTTTATTTTTCCACTTAACATGCAAATAGGAGAGTGTAGGCATACAAAGGCACCCTTATAATTTGGCCAGTGCCTTCGTCATTTCAGTTATACATTGTTGTTACAACTACTCTTACTCAGATTTATTTTGACGAAAAATGGTACCATTCTGACACATATTATCGAGGCAATACATTCCATTGCATTTAATGGTGAGACACCTAGACACCTGATACCACATTACATTATAAAATACTTCCTTATATGAAAAGTTCATTAGCTGCAAATATGCCAATATGTTGTTTTGGATGTCTGGTTTCGTTTTGCGGTTATACAAATACAAACAGACATTTTTCTTCCTTTTATTATGAATTCCATATATAAACTGCTGTATTTTATAAGATAAGTTCAGAGAGGCAACAACCTTGCCAATATTAGAATTAATCACTTTAATACGATCATCATCATCATCACATCATCATCATCAAGTGTTTAAACTACCTGGTGACAATATATAGAGGTTGTAATATTGCTAATCGTTGTAAGAGATCTACATTAGTCCAGACGAAACTATAAGGAAAACCGCAAGTTGACAAAGCGGACACCATCGGACACCATCCACCAACAAACAAACAACACTACATGGTTGGCCATGGATCAGGCTGGTGGACAGGGTCCTTTATAACAACTCCAGAAACACTCCAGACCTATGGCATGCCTGATTTTAAATTGTAAATTTGAACACTCGATCGTCATTCTTTTAAAAAATCCAGGTCAATAAAATACGAGAATTTCAGAATTGGTAGATTTGACTCATTTCAACCGCACATCATTTCAGCTGGACCTATAATTACACCGATAACAACAGATACCTGTCCTGGGTAATTAATCCTATCATAACGAGGTTCGAGTGTCTCTCTTCCCCAGTCTCCCATCGGCTTATCAGACAACTTACTGTACGCTAAAGGTTATCGCCCCTGTTGACCTTTGGTAGCTGACATTTGCCATTGTTCAGGATCTTTAACGTGAATCATTGTTTTTCTCTCAGATTTGTCAAGCACCCATTTTAACACAGGTTTCTTTGGTAGCTGACAAGTTAGACGCAATTTTTCTGAATTTTTTGACAACCGAATGGCTTTGATGATTATTTCAGCAATATTCTCGAAGTTTTTCTATAATTTTTCAAAGCTGATCTTTGGATTTATTCCATTCAGTTTTTTTCATAGAGATTATTATCCATCTGAACACTGTGTCAAGAGAATGACATTGGTAGTTTTTAAACCCCCTGACTTATCTCTTCAAATTTGATAAGCTTATTTTGTAGTTTATCTTTGTCATTGTTCTTTTCAGGATTTTTCAAAGTGAATCAATACCTATCTGAAAGTTTTCTCCAGAAAATGGCATTGGTAGTTTTTACAATTGAAGCTCATTTTTTCATTTGTTGTTCTTCATTTCTATTAGTCTAGGCTGTTTTTCTAGCTGAAATTTGTCGTTGGTCAGGACTTGCCAGTGAACCATACGTAGTCAAGCAAATTACATGGGTCGTTTGCATTCAAGCTTTCAACATATCGCCTTTTCTACTTTCTTGCAACAGTTTTACGATCACTCGAATGATTTCAATTAGCAAGACGTAACTTGAAAATTACAATGGATGTAGATAAGAAAGGTAAAAGGAAGAAATAAAGAGGTGAACGGGTATATCACAGGGTGTGATAATAAGTGTAATGTTATTAGTAATTATATTTCAACCAGTTATGTCAGTACATTGTATGTTTCTGAATATATATTGCCTTGTTATAGCCCTAGAAAATAGTAGCTGCTACACTGTGTCCATGAGTTCATTAAAGGTATATACCCACCTAGTTTCCAAGTAATAGAATTTTAAGTAGCATTCCCAGTTTGATTTAATGTTGGTATAACTTTCATTTAAGACATACAAATGTCTCTTTTAATGTTCAAAACAATGTATGAATTAATAAGGAATCGTAAAGCTGCATAAAACAGAGATAAAGAAATAATAGGACGATATCAAGAATCATCATAAAAGCATTGAAAAGTCACAGTCTATATATGTTTCTGAGAGTCGGAAAGGTGTTTGCTATCAATCTCTTTCATCTAATACAATGCATAGGAGATCTATAAGAGAAATAATTCTGTTTTGTTGTCTGTAATTGATACACTAGGTTATGCCCCTTTATTTGTTTGAAATAACGGACCCAACTTGTGGTTAAAACGAACTCAACGGAGCTAAGTTGTGTCGAAAATGATTCCAAAATATTCAAAATAACCATGATTAGAAAAATGAAGATTGAAAAAACAGGTTTTTTGGACACTATAACGACGTATGAAAAATGTGTCAGCTTTCTTATTCAACACTGACCACAACATCAGAAATCACAAAAACCAAACTGTCATTCTTCACAGACGGCATCTGTTTCTGAATCCCATGATTGTGTTTTCCCTGATCCGAATATTCCATACAGGGCAGATGAGACCAGATATAAGCCCGAACATATATAGAACACAATACTCCATGCTTCTCTGCCGCCCTGAAACATAAATTTATCAACATGCATTTAGAAATGCTAATTACAATTACGATAAAAATCTGGCATACAAGGAATTGTAAAGTTTTGTTGAATGATTCATTTTCCAAGACAGATATACATGTTTGACAATCCGTACGGGTGTCGCCATATTAGGAGATTCAAGGACTGTTTTCTAACCGTTATATTTATATCACAGGAACTTACAGTTTATGCTTCCATTATTTCAGTTAATAGGCATAATGCGAAATGACTCAATATATAGCCTATCTAGAATTACAGAATGACTGGATCCATACATTGCAATGAAGCAAATTTACGCTAATGTGTTCCCTTAAGATGAACACACAGGCTTGGAATAGTTTCGAATGCGTGTAAGCTGTGTATGCATTGGGTCTGTTAACCCCGCATCTCTTTTAGTGAGTCCACTTAGCTAATCGTTTATTTGCTATAATCAATACTCACGCGATTGACCAGTGTACCTGTTAGACCCGGGCTCACGACACCGGCAAGAAACGCCAAAGCGTTTGAGATGGCAACCAAAACAGTGGAATAGTTCGGAGATAAGTCCAAGAAATTCACAATTACACCACTCCAAGTTGCACTTTGCAAGATAAGCGTTACAGATAGGCATATAACAGTTATCAATGCCGACTGACTATAAATCCCCGCTGTTATCATAATTATACACATCAATAAGGGAACTGAAAATACAAACAAGGGGTATGGAGTTAAGGTAGTAACAGGTTTCGTGTCCTTGTTTTCAGTTGCTAAGGCTACAAGTCTTGCTATCGTCTTGTATCAGGAAAGTGAGGTCCTTTTTTTCGCTTTTGTGGTTTCGAAGGACAAAGCTCCTTCGGAATCTGCGACCCGTTATGCTTATCGCTAGATTTCTTTGCAACGCTTTAGATAGAATGGCGGACCATTTTAAGTCGGTTAGAGCGTTTGGTTACATGACGTCATATGCGTGGTTATGTCGAACAAATGATGGGTGTGGGTTCTAATCTAAATCGGCGTGGTAAAATCCGATGACCTTGAATAAGACATCAATTATTCCAGTAAACCATAAATGGGTATGGATTATCCGGGAAAGATTAATACCAAAGGATCCTTAGTTGTGAACCTAGCTATCCTTGTAAAATGTTCATTGTTTCTATTCAGTAAATTTCTCAATATGAGCTTTCCAACAGTTTCGATAAGATGCTTTAAATCAGTCTTCTAACGCTCATCTTTAATAGCCCAAATTCACCTCCACATAAAGGAAGTTTCCTAGCTTGAGTTGTGGTTAAAATTTTTCTGTTTATCAGCCAGTCCGCCACCCGACCCGTTATAACCACCATCACAGACATAAACAAATATGGTAAAGCTGCCAGCAAACCATTCTAAAAATGAATAAAAGTATAACAATTAACGATTCATTGCGCTAACAAGCGAAATACAAAAAAAGACAGGCAAACACTTTGAAGGTTGACCTTTGACAACAATAAACCTCAGGGCAAGGTAAGGGATGTCCTCTTCCTGACTGGAAATTTCAGATTAGCCATCAAAGACTGGAATATATGCAAACGTTTCGGTCTAGTCTTGACCCTTCATAATGAGGTTGCTGGGAACGATTTAAAAGAACTCTTCCGCGGAGGAATGAGCTCACTGGGGTTAAGAAGCACTGTTCTATAGCAAGGTATTGGACAGAAGTTCGTCCTTTGTAGTTAATGAAAAAGCTGTCAAATTACAATGAGGGCGAAATATCACAAAACAAAACAGAACGAAATTGTAATCTAATTTGAATTAGATTGTTACATTACCTGCTTTATCTCAAAATGCAGCGCATTGTCCATGAATGTAGAAATGTCTGTCATCAACATGAATAATCCCCAATCTATGGCAAAATGAACACTGACCAATGACCAATATGGCATCGATGTTAAAATAGAGAACCATGGTGTTTTGTGACTCTGAAATTATTTACAAAAATTTCTGGAACGATAACAAAATGTGACATCAAAGAAAGGAAAGACTGGTTACTCATACTTTATTCTTTAGGTCTTTCATAAATCTCTTAAAGATCTTTATTATATTTGAAGTGAAGTGAAATGAAATGGAGTCATTCAATGTTCACTGAAGGGAAATCCTTCAGGCGACATTAGCCTTCTCTTTCAACCCGTCGAGTTATATTCATTTCAAATCAGATCTTACAAACCTATAAAAAATACAGTTTTTTTGGTTAATTTTAAACAGCTATTTCTGAAGATTCTTAATATCTCTTAAAATAGTTTAATTTCACACTAATTCTTTTCACTTACTTTCTTTTCAATATCTAGATAATGTGGGGCATTATTCTTTAAATATTCCAGTTCTCCTGTACTGATTGATGTATGTGATTCCGGTGATTCAAATATACAGATATACCAGAGTAAATACCATACAACAAACACTCCCCCTACAATGGAAAGTTGGTGGTTCGGATTCCATCATGAAAGTTGATCTCAATCAAAGTTGATCTTGAAGTCAAGTTAATAATTGGTTCTTTTATGCGAGGTATTGATAGTAAAAATTTGATGCTCCATGAAATCTGTTTTGAATACACCCCCTTTTCCCCTCTGAGGATATTATGATTTGTCCCCCGCTCCCGAATGATCACGTCTGGCTAAATGGTGCTGCACTTAACGTGCTGTCTTTGAAATTAGTTGCTATATATTCAGTCTTATTACTATATTGCGCTTATAAAGCCTTTAAACGAACTGCCGTGTTCATTCATTTTGCTAATGCAATCAGAATTATTTACTTGCATCTTGTTCCATCCCTTATATCAGTGGTTCCCAACCTTTTTCAGCCTTCACACCCTGAAGTAATCATTTGAATCTTTCACACCTCCAAAACAATAGACATTGAAAACTTTGCTACACACTTTAATTGACTGCATACAATGCACATGCTGTCATAAAACATTGAGACCCAAGTCAATTTTCCTGGAAGAATCTTCCAAGCCGAAGCTGACCTGTATACTGGTGCACCTATAGTGGGAGGTCCGTGAACTAAGATTAGGTTGGCTCAATGGTTGTGGCAAAAACATGCAAGTACTGGAACCTTATAATATCCAAAAGAAAGCCTTCTCCTACAACAGTTGTCCACACCTCTGACACCCTAGTCCCATACCCCCAGTGTGTAAAAAACACCCCAGGTTGGGAACCAGGGCCTTATATGTATCAATTCTTTGCATGCTATCCGCAAAAACCTTACCAATTAATTGTCATTTGTTCAAAATTGTCTCATTACGTGAATTCGAACACACCTGGTTGTGCCAATGAAGTCAGACTACGTCCTGTATGGTGCAATGTGAAATATATTAGATAGCAATTTGGGTTCCTCTTGTATTCATGCTGTGAGTGTCCCATGTACCATACTTACCAAAGAAGTAAAACATAAGTGGCCATCCCAGGGAAGTTTCTGCTAATAGTCCCGACACAAACAAACCAAAAAAGCACCCCATGTATACTCCTACAAAGTAAAAAAAATGTGTACAGTTAATTCTGATATGAGTCGGATAGTCAATCTTTTAAACAAGCCTTTTAATGTGAATTTCCATTGTTTGGAGGTAGAGGATAGAAAAGCGGGTTTATAATTCCAATTTCATTTGTGGTTAATTTTTTAAGTTAATATCATCATCTTTGTACTAAAAAATCCACCGTCAAAATGCCACCAGTTTCTTCAGTGGAGTTCAAAAGCCTGTATTTTCTGACTTTGTAATATGTATCGGGAGAGTGACAGAATCTTTTCGCACAATTAACATTGCTCATTTGACGTTTGTTGCTCCTGTTAATCTCGACAAAACCTGGCCATTTTACCAAGTTGATTGCCTGGACGTCTAATATATAAGTTTACTTGAATCACAAACAAAGGCTCCCAATTTTACCACACACGCATCAGATGGAACATGTACAGTAATAATTACCAACGGATGCCAAAGATACCAACTGTGATTTCTCCTGGACAGGGGCCCATCGTGTCCAGATTTCCATCGTAGCAGGGGTTGTAACTCCCTTCAATAAAACAATAACACTTTTTTAAAAAAATAGAAATTTATCACGATCACGATAATGACGACTAAATTCGTTTGATTTACAGAGTTACTTCCCTTAACAGTCGTCTACATAATACATATTATAATAAATAGGCCTAGCCTAAACTGAAGCAAAGATCCAGACTCTACTCACCACATTTACTATCCTTGACCTTAAAGTAAGGTTTGAATTTCAGTTACCATCCTTCTAAGGAAAGTAAAGGGAAGCAACTCTGAAAATCAAACAACCTCACTCTAGGTTTTGTTTTAAGTTTAATTATGTACCCCATTTATTAAATATCTTAGAGCAAGAAAAGAAATATCTATTTCATTTCGTTTCATTTCTAAATTATACTGTGATTCTATAACATTGACGTCACCAAAAATAAGTACTCCTAATGGATAAATAAAGACGGTTGACTCACATCAAAAGTTCCTTGAAGAAATCGAATGGTAATAACAGCATATACTCCCCATGTTGACGCCCATGGAATTATTAAGGAACACAGTGCAGTCCCAAGTACACCCAAGCCAAATATTACAGTACCTCCAAATCGTTTTGCTAGGAGACCTAGTATAAAAATGAAAATGAAATGAGTAATGAACGATCACATTTAAATTTAATTATACTTTCTTTTTACACATACGACAATCAGTAACACTTCAAACAATGGTAATCACCTCAACACAACTCAGATAAAACATAAAATAGCCAGTTAAGTTGTAGTTCAGTGTTGATCACCGGACTAAATGTGGTAGGGCTAGTTTTGTCGGGCTACTTGCACCACCAAATTCGCTGTAATAAATGAATCCTTACCCCCTGGATATTGTGTTATCACTGTGCCCCAATAAATAGCAGTTAATACATATCCTTGTACTTGTAAGTTCCAGTCAAACCGTGTACCATAACCCTGTAAAACAGAATATCTCGATCCATTATCTGAAAAATGGAGATGGCTAAAGATACGAATATTAAGTGTAAGGTGTTCGGTGCAGTCTGTGGTGTGTGATAATCGGTATAGTAGAACGTAGAAGAAGTGAATACACGAGATGTAGAGTCTGGTATGGGATGATTTATACAGTAGAGTCAGGATACGATGCTGACACGATTATCTATTGTATCGACAATTTCGCATCGTACAATGGACACCGGACACCAGATTTCGCCTATTCACAACTTAGGGTGTCTCCACTCTCCACTAACGTGGATATCGTCTACATACCATTTAATGTGAATTGGCTCCTGTTGGGGAAAGAGATGCAGGTAGGGGACTTACATACAGACACGGCAAGTCGTATAAAAGTGCCTTGAAGAAGATTGACGGTACAAGTATGTCGACAGGATTATATGATTATATGTCCTGGTACAATATCCAACAAGCATAATATAATAGCCCTTATTTACAATTATTATCAACTATGTCAAGCTAAAGTTCATTTCAACTGATGCAGTACATCTAAACCACAACATCTGTATAAATTTAATGAGGCAAGGATGATATTATCAAAGATAAAAAAAGAGAATAAAAGTAATTTAAAGTCGTAGGTTGGGAGAGGAGTATGGGTGTCGCAAAGGCATTGGCTGAGAGAGGGTACTTTTCTGTGTGGTAAAATTTAATTAGACTCCTGGAAGATATGTATCTGGCTTAAACGAAAAAATAACGAGGACAACACGTTGCCAAGTATATTTTGAAAAATTCGTATCAGATCTAATGAATTAGAAACACATGGTTCACAGGAGCAAAGTTATGTAAAATGAGATTTGTAAACTTACAGAAGAGGAACTCCCATTTCCTACGTGTGTATTGTTTGTAGTCATTGCAATAATTCCTATACTCATTTGTATTCTGGCAGTGTATATCCCAACTGAAAAACAATACAGACTGAAGACCAAAAGAAACTTTACCAAGGTTTGAAAACACCCTAGATGAAAAACACCACATTATAGATGATTGTATTGAAATGTTTCAAACATATTGATTAGTCAACAAAACCAGTGGGGTGTGAGACTGTCGGACGAAGAATGTCATCGATATTACGTCGGCTGTCAAATTGCCATTAACCAGTGGAGTCTTCTCCTGCCCACAGATTCCTCCCCATACAATAACACTCCCTCGCACTACCTCTTGAACGCAACATGCCACTGTCCTTTTCACCCTTTCGGCGGTAAACTCTTAGCCCTCCTCATCTCTGAACTATGAGCAGTAATCGGGTATGATTCCCACAAACGTTAATGCTGACAATGTAAATTGGATGGATAAGTTTCGAACGCTTTAAGTGGTATAGTTTCTTTTGGCCTTATGTTTATATCCCCACGGGAAGAGTAGCAAAGAAGACAAAGATAGATTGCTGGCCTGTGGATGTGTATCCAGAAAAAGCTTCTATTTACAAAATTTCCTTACCTTGTTGTTTCTTGTTTCCGAAAAAAGAACTTTACTAGATTACAACGTAAAGTGGAATTTGCAAAAGTGATGTTAAAGTCAGACGAGTCGTTACGTTGTTTTTAGAATAATCAGACAATTCTTTCATAATTTGCGGCACAATATGAAAAACTATATGTTTTATTAAATCATATCACAAATTGCCAAAAAGGGGAAACCAATTAAAACTAATATATGTTTTATATATTTAAGAGTGCTTAATGCGCCGTAAAATGTACCTTAAATGTTTCTATAGACTGAGAGAATGGGACAATCCCTCCACGGACCTACCCCTTTAAAATAAAAATAGATTTACCATATCCCAGTGAAACCATCAGAGCTACAATATATCTCTTTGATATACACAAACATGGCGTCTGTCTTTTTTCCAATTCCTCATAATCACAACCTTCATCCTTTCTACAAAACATTAGTCCCGAGGTTTTGTCCTTTAGTTAGACGTGTTATATTGTAGCCAAGCTTGCGACCAATGTTTTGTCCCTTTTTATCTAAAATTCTAAAAAAGGAAATGAATAAAAAACGGTAAAAGGAAATATTAAAAGGAAAATGACTTTGCTAAGAACTTCCTTGAAGGACTGCTTCCAATTTTCTTTTCCAATGATAATGCTGGAAAACAATTTTCATATCTCGTTAGAAATGCCATAAGAAATTAACAATGCATATCTTGTCGATGTTACCTGCAAACATGATAATCGTGGAGAGCGGTTCCATGGACTATAGACTTCCGGCCCTTAGTCCCTCTCGTCCTGCCACCGAACCCTATAAATAGAAATGTTAAAACTAGACCTGAAATATGTTGTTACTAACCGATGATTTAATTATGATAGATAACTAAATATTAAAACTAAAACATGTGTCACAGCGTCAAACTCTGAATAACAACATACTTCAAGTTCAGTTTTAAAGGGACAAGTTCGCCATGTGCTTGACTAATCGTACCTTAATCTATGAAATGGGAATCTTTTAGATAAGTTATTCAGTAATAGTGTTCACAGCTCATCGTTTAAACTTGAGCCTTCAAATCGACGTGTGTCAAGAATTATTTGCGTTTGAAAGGTAAAAAGACGACGCATCTTTTCTTGAGACTCAATCATATATAGAAAAGACATAATAAAGAAATTGAAATTGCTTGATCGAGTAGTTTTGAAGGAATTGTACATTTATAGTACTTTTGAAGACTATTTACATCCAGTCAACACCCAAATCAACTGTCGCAATTGTCTCTTTAACATTTCTATATTGTTCTACAAATGACAAAGGAGCAATTTTTTAACGGTGAAAATATTCTATTATCTAATTTGATATATATTTATGATTATTTTAATATCTATGTATCAATATTATATATTATTCAGACTCATTAGATTTCATTCTGCTTTAATTACAGTCCCTTGTAACTTGATCTCATACCCTGTATGCAACATTGACCATTTTCGAGGGTTGACTTGGGTCTTGTGTATATGTAAATGACTAGAACCGAACTTAAAATACTTTCAAACTAGAAATTTCGATGTATTTTCTCTATGGCAGAGTCTCAAAATTCTGGACACACATGGATTTGAATGCTCAAATTTCAACGGTGAGCCGTGAATACTATTACATATTAGTTCAACTAAAAAGACGGGTACGATTGGTCAACCAGATGGCGAATCTGTCCCTTTAATCCTTTGTAAATCAATTCATTTTGTCCGTAGTTGCACAAGGGTAGTACGTATCCGTAAGCGTGATATATCTATTTTAGTAAACGCAAAAGCCTTCAAATACAACGGACAGATGCTGTGTGGATCATTAGGAGTAATGACGTCAGAGTATTCCCAAAAAAGGTATTGGCTGGATTATATCTTTACTCTTGATTGATAACGTACATAAAGTTGGCATATCGCTTACTACAGATCTCGCAAACGCGTACTGATGCGTATACGCCTGTGCGTAGCGGATAAAGCGAGTATGTGCCCTCCAACTTGACTCGGGTGATTAAACGAGGAATATATCAAAAATCAATTGGATCATTTTACATGACTTTCGGATATGCCAAAGTAATCGGAGTTGAATATTATTAATATCGAATTAGATGAAGGATTGGTATATGAATATTCATCAAAAATGATATTTTTTGTGAAGTTTATATGTAAATGTCATTGAAAGATTATATCATTTTGTTGTCTAGTTTGTAAAACGAGTTACATCCCTTTAGACCTGGATTCACGCGAATAAGACTCATTTCATGACCAAAAATGGATTTCTTTTAAACCTGGCCAAAAAGAGTCTTTGTTTATTAGTGGACTTACTAACTATACGACAGAATCCCTCTTTAATCCAATAAATCAATAGAACCCAGTAATAATCCATTAAACTAAGTAGTTTTGTAATACGCTTAGAAGCGGTTTTCAATCATTTCAAAGTTTAATGGATATATCGTCTTATAACTTTATTCATGGCAACTAATAAGTTCAACTGATGAATATATACTCTTATTGACCAAGTTTGAGACTTGAAATTGTATGTCCATTCTTAGAACTAGTATTACTTTAATGTTAACATGAGAATACACTCTTTGACTTCTCACACTTGTTAATGGCGTTCTTCCAAGATTTGATCTAACGTGATTAATTGTAAATCTCGTATGGTGTAATATGATTTAGCATCAAAGACTCTACTAATTAGCTAGTTTTGGTTTATGATAATTAAGGATTACTATGTAACTATTAAAAACACATTTCTTTTTTTAAACTTTAAGGAGTTCGTATTAAAAAGAAACTTTCTTATAAATTTGTTTCTCGTAATAATAACATGCAGTGAAAGGGACCGTTTTTTTTTATCTTTACAAGCTTTTTTCTGTTAGAGAAATAATATGCAAAGAACGCGTGTCTATCCTACATACATACATACATACATAGTAGAACATAAAGGTTAGGGTGGTTAGGTGAAATCATTTAATATTCAACTGAAGGCTCTGACACAAGGTTAAACTTATCTTTACAACAAAATAACAAAATGAATAAAACAAAGGTAAAGAACGTAATTTGAAAGTTTATTTTAAAATTTGAATCTTAGACCTAAATAGATAAAGCGAATACACAATACAAATCCACATCGTGTCCGGACCCGTACCTCGTATATTCCGTTCTCTAGTTAGACGCTATACTATTTCCAGAATCGTACACCGCAATTTGATTAAAATTAAATTAGAGTTAAGTTTAGTTATTATTTTTTGTCGACCTTCGTATACATCTTTTTAGATGGAGACCGACAAAAGATAATAACGAAGGAAATTGTAATCTAATTTTGATTAAATTGCGAACGCCTTGCCATGTTTATTTATTCCTTAACATCATAAATCGAGATGTAAATATCAGGTTTTAAATACGACCCGTTATATTGATAACTAAACAAATATACAATAACAAAATAATTTCATTGTTAAAATAGTATACCGAGTACTTCAATTGTAGAGTAATATAGAAATAATAATATTCCTATTACTAAATACATTTAAATAACCACGATTCATGATCGATTATAATATAGGTTTTTATATGGTTATTTACAGGTGTAACTTACACACATCTAAATCCTGAAATCAGAAATACTAGTATCAGATTGAATCTAAAATCAATAGTACCTATGGAGCCGGGAGTAAATAGGAAACAGAGTAAATGTGTAATGAACCCATCACATGCGGAAGTACATCAATCATAGGAGTAGGCTTTTCAGAATGAAAAGTAAGAGTACCCGAAAATTGCCACATGTCTCCTTGGATTCGTGATTAAAACAAATTAGTCACCGCCCACAATATAAATACAAGATGATTCAAGTTTAGCACTTTGTGGTTGATCTAAGATTCATCAGGTGATACTGTGATAATCTATAGTCGATAGTCCTAATGGTCAATGTACTGTTTCATGCCTTTGGTAACGAATTAATATTTACATGTAAACTTCGGCTTCTTTCTAAAACTGTTGTTTATCTATATATGTTTGTATAATTTGTAGATTTTGAATAAATAGTGTTTATATCATCTTTCATCAACCTATTAATACAATATAAAAAGTGCATGGGCAGATGTTCCTAATGATGCAGGTATTCCCACTTATACGGAACACACAGGACTACTCTTCTCTCGGGCCCGTGGGGGCAAGGGAAGGTGGGACAAAATACCGGATTGTCCCCCCCCCCCCCATCTCGAAAATCTGTTTCCGCCCGATCAATATCATAACTGTAACTAAGCACTGCACTCCATTGCCCCTCCGAACAATCAAGTGTGGCTACAGGTCTGACTCAGTATCCCTTTTGACAAGTGGAATAGCAGTCCTTTTACAGCCTTCACACCCCTGGTGATATCACCTGAACCTTTCACACCCCAACAAACTTGTTCCATCCACAATTCAGGCCACACCCTGACACCCTAGTGCCACACCCCAGGGGGTGAAAACACCCTAGATTAGGAACCGGGGACCTAAATTGAGATGGTTGATAATATAAACTCTGTGTAAAACTTAGTACTCTCAAGTCTCAATGGCTTCAAGTTATCAGAAATCATCCCCCGGTAGAATTTTTATCTTGAATTTTGAACGGTTCAATGTTTGATGCACATGTTAAAGATGAAACTCGATCTTGAAGAAATGTTTGTCTGTTTATAAAAACACTAGTTTCGCATCTTGATTATAACGCTTATACAATACTCTTTCCTCGTCTTCAAACCCAGTCGTTTTCAAATGTTTATGTTCGTTTTGTTTTATCTATAAACTATGATGTTACGACACGTTGGAATTTGTACGTTACTTGTTTTCTGATAATGATCAGCACTTGTTCCAAACAACAAACGAAAAGGAATTATAATAGCGAACAGACGAGAGAATAATGAAGGCGACAGAAAAGATTAAACTGTCATTATTAATAGAAGTTCAGAGCCGACTCGAAAGCAGGAATGATTTCATTGGCGGGGGTCATGGTGTGTTGGTGGGTTGCATCCCGGCGTCCATGGGGATCAGGAATATACTAGTGTATCACTGAACATACTAGTGCATCATTGAATATACTAGTGCATCACTGAATATACTAGTGCATCACTGAATATACTAGTGTATCACTGAATATATTAGTGTATCACTGAATATACTAGTGTATCACTGAATATATTAGTGTATCTCGGAATATACTAGTGTATCACCGAACATACTAGTGCATCACTGAATATACTAGTGCATCACTGAATATACTAGTGCATCATTGAATATACTAGTGCATCACTGAATATACTAGTGCATCATTAATGTAATAGTGTATCACTGAATATACCAGTGTATCACTGAATATATTAGTGTATCACTGAATATACTAGTGTATCACTGAATATACTAGTGCACCGTTGAATATACTAGTGCATCACTGAATATATTAGTGTATCACT